CTTATTGACCACTTGAGGGAACTTCCCTTGAATTCATTGTTCCTGAAATACCGTAACTTATTTGTGAATATACTATGGAATTAGTAATTCTCATCATGTCAAGAGTCCAAGGAAATGGGTATTTGATTATTGAAGAATATCGGCTATCAATTCCGAAATAAGAAACTATTTTCCTTTTATATATAGAAGGGAAAACGAAAAAGTAGCAAAATTAACTACAAAAGTCTTGTAGTGAACAATTGCATGAGAAGCTAATTAGTCTGCCATTTCGTTGCACCAAAGCCCGTACTATCTTGTTACAGCAAGGATGTGTTTGGTACAAGTATTTCAAAAGGATTATTGGTAAACCTTCTTTGGTAAACACAATTACCATGTTTGGTAGAAGGAACAAAAACCAGTTTCCGGATATTCAAGGATTACCGGTAATTTGATTTATAAAGAAAAATCAATATTCAGATTACCAAAAATAATATGGTAATTTAGAATACCAAGTAAAGGAAAAGCACAACAATAATTTTTGAGACAAAAATACCCCAACAGACATAAAAATCTAGACTCAATCTATCAATTACAAAAGTTAAAAATAATTTAGAGTTATTTTTGTAAAATAACCTCATATTCCAAGTCATATTTCGTTCTAAACCAAACATAGAATCAGTAATATTTACCCAATATTTCCGATAATATTTTGACGAATCAAACAACTTTTTCGTAAAATTCCAAGTAAACTCAATTTCTATTGTATTTTCATTAATCGTGATTTTCCGATACCAAAATATTTGTCTTGTACCAAACACACCCCAAAAGTAGCACATTCTAGATGAGGAACTTCAAGAATATGCGAATCCCAGACATGAACAATTGCACGAGAAGCTAATTAGTCTGCCATTTCGTTGTGCTCCCTAGCTAGAAGTCTATGAAAGATGCATGCTCCAGTCCTTGCTTATAGCGCTCCTTATTCTATTGGAATACGAAACTTTGGTCAAACATTGATTTGACTTTTATAAGACAATCTGACTGAATTCAAGACCCAAGTGCTTTTACTACATTTGAAAATATAAAAGAAATATTGCTTCTTACTTTTACTACTTTCTTATATTTAATTAAATTTAAAACTCTCTTCAATTAATTTTAAGTTTGTTCAGATAAAATTTGTGTGACATCTGTGATGAGGCGTGTGAAGGGGGCTACCAACTTTTTTTTTTCTATCAATTTTATTATCCTTGTTTATGAGAAGCAATCACTTATGCCATTAATATAATGTCAAGTACCCTTAACTTTATCCCGTCATCAATTTCTATACCTTCCCTCGTATATTTTATGTAAGAAATTTTAAGATGAGATTATATGAAATTAGAACACCAAAAGATTTAGGCTTACTTGTTATATGGTTCTTGATTTCTTGGAGGCTTCTTATTTCCTCTGAAGCTCCTGCAATGGAAAGATCAGGATCTTCCTCTGCAATTCACACCACTCCCTGATCACAATCTTTGATGGGATGAATTGTGGAGTGACCGTTTTCCAACATACTTTGAATGCAAAGGGGACCTAGCTAAACTTATTAACCCTAGTCCCCTTCTCATCATGGGCCTATGGGTTAGGCCTACACTGTTACCTACACTAATCAATTTACAGATATCCAAGCCCAAATCAAAAGGATCACTAATTAACTGGGCTTTATATTGCACCCCTATATGGATCATAACTTAGCCCGTTTTTATTAAAACAAGAAAAATTACAATTGAAGTGCACAATTATTATAAAATTTTCTAACATTCTCCCACTTGGGCAAAATCAATTGTAAAATTTTAATTTAAAAGAGAAAAGGAAAACAAGTTATACGAAATGACTCTCGGACTAAAGGCTAATTCTTATAATGTGGCCACATTTTGAGAAAACACATGATCCAAGGTGTGATATCTGAATATGACTCCATCCAACTAAAATCAAATAACATTAAATCAGGCGGTGATTATACCTGTTGCATAATCGGCAAGTATACCGTTCGTTTCACGTAATAAAAGTGATAAGTAAAGATCGTTCCCTCGAGGATTAATGCACCAAGTATTAATTTAACTATTCCCCTTAAGTAGAAAAAGAAAGTTTGTTTGATTTGTGAAAGTGATTGATTGTTGGAATTTTAAAAACAGAAATAAAAAAACAATAATATTTAAAAAGTATGCAAGAAAAGATCAAGAATGTCAAGAAAATATGAGTTATGAAAAAATTGTAAAAAGACTGTAGCCAGGATGCACTTCACCTCTGATCCTTCTCTATATTCCTATATTGTATTTTATAATTAACTAATTCGTTTGCTCAGACAATTCATTATTTCCCTATAAAATAGTTGAACCCTAATGTCCTAGTGATTTCAACCCTTTAACCCAATTAGAATCCTAGTGTCCTAGTAATCCCTCATGAATTAAGCATTAAGCAAATGAATTAAAAGTCTGCAATCTATGTAAGCCTATGTCTAGGTCATGCACAAATTGTTATTCTACCATTGTCCAGATTAAAACCTCCAATATGTCTATTGTGAGCCTTAACCCTCAAAGCCCTATAATTTAGAGTGATCGGTTCTAAACAGAATATGGAAAAATTAACACAGACAGAATAAAACAAACTGACTAATTAACTTATAAAAACAGTATAGGAAATATAAAGGATTCACATTGGGTCCGTGATCCCAACTATAAAAAGAAACTAGCCAGACATAGCTGGCTTAAACAAATTAAAGAAATATAAAGTATTCATGAAAACAATAAAGAAAAAGAAGAAGAAGAAGATGAAGGATCAATGATCTTCGTTCTTCAACTCCGTCGGAATCCTGATCTCCAGCGTGAGCCTCCAAGAATTCTCTTCAGCCAAAGATTGTTTGTCTCTGGGGTCTGAGTCTCTATTTATAGAGTATGTGCCTTGCTTAAAAATCTTGATCAAATCTCCCATGTAAGATCTCCTCCAGATACCCTCTGATGTAGGATTTAAAATTGTCACATGCTATTCAATTGGGGCCCTTTCTTGAACTTTTTCCTACAAAAATATAAGAAAATTAGTGACAAGGTACCTGATTAGGATTTATTAAATTAATAGTAATTATAGCCCTTTTCATTAGAGATTGATCAAGATTCTTTCTCTTTTTGGCTTAAAATCATATATATGCTGGAGGCATATCAAACAATTCTCAGATTTGAACGTTGCGGTCCTCAGCAATGTAATAGATCAAAGTTTTAAACAATGATGAATTCTATGGAGAGAAAAACATGGAACACAATTATCTTAAGAGATCAGACTGCTATGCATGTATAACTTCCCTGTTAAAAACTTCAAACAATGATTTTAAGTTTTATCAAGAAATTCAGATCATAACTTGAATGTTCCTCACTAGATAAATATATAACTCTCATCGCTCTAGTGTTTGATGGGTTCACACTTATTCCATCAGTGTAGTAGTAATTCCATAGGCTTGATCAGATTCTCAAATTCCTAAGATTGAGGAATTCATTTGACATGCATGGACTGATCAAAAGGTCTTTGAAAGGTTATAACTTGGCCTGGTTTGAGGGTAAGAATCTTTTGGACAGAGGCTGATTAATTTGAGAGACTGAAATACTGAGATTTTTGACAATACTTTCTTCCCATTCTTTAATTCCGTCACTTTTCGTTATTTCGGGATTCTTATTCCCTTTTTCACTACCTTTTTCTTTCTTTCTTTGTTTGCAGATGTTTTCTTTCTTTTCTCTTTTGAGCTGCATTTTTGCAGACCATTCTTTTTTTTTTCTTTTTCCACTTACTTAACTTTTATTTTGAGAAGTACCTTGACTTTTTCCTTTGATAAACATTTCAATCTCTTTCAAGGTGTGTCAATGGAAACATGGTTAAGTAACTTTCATCAGGTTTTTGAATAAATTGGTCCAACAATGGAAATTCTTTCTAGGTAGGCTATTTGGCTCTAAGTTAACAAGAATAAACGTTCCTTTGTCATGTTAGTAATGCATGCAAGCTAGAGAAACAGTCAAGTTCTAGAAGACTACTACAGTGAGGCCTCTCTGAAAAAATATTTACTGTTTAGGCTCAATCCTCAAAGATATAATTCAAGCTAGAATCTAATTTCAAAATTTCACTTCAATCATTATCCAAAAAGTATTCATCAAAGCAGTTATACAAACGAGCAATCATCATTTTCAGATTATCTAAAAATTTAATGCTCCACAGATATCATGCTTCTTATAATTCAATCTATTTAATTGCTGAGTAAGCTTTTGCAAAATCTAGGAATGCTTTGTTCAGGAATTCACTATTTAATTTTTTTTTTCTAAAAAAAATTGAATTAAAAAAACTATTGAATTAAAACAGCAAAAATTAAGAAAAATAAAGGTTGAAATATCTCCCCTTTATAACAGGAAAATTTTCTGTTAGACGTCTCTGTTGTGCAATTTTGCAGTTAGCAGGTATCGCATACAACATGCGCCCAATTCTCAGATTTAGAATGTTGTTGTCCCCAACAATAAACTAAACTAGTCAAGTGAAGCTACTTCTGCGCAAGTGGAACACACACACACTTTTTAAACGTCAAACAAAATAATCATAACAGTAAAATGTATGAAGAGACATAACCAAAACAAAATATCCAAAACAACAAAATAAAGAAAAAGGTAAAGTCAGATAAATGGTGAAGTGTGTGACATAGACTTTTGACTCTGGCGCTGATTGCGGGAAGCCCGTGCTATTGGCACAGAGCTATTGTGAAATTTTGATTCATTGGCACTGACAGTGTGGATCTCGCACTTACAGCGCGAATATTTCCTGGGATTATGGCGCTGATAGCGCCAATTCCCAGATTTAAGACTTTTGCATATGGTCACTAATTCACCAATTACTTAACTTGTTAAAATTAAACTAACCTAATCAAAATAAAATGAATAAAATAAAAACAGAAAAATGACTATTGGATTGCCTCCCAATTAGCGCTTGTTTAAGGTCACGAGCTTGACACAAACATTTTAAGGCTCAGGTGAAGTCAAAGGGACAGAAACCTTGTCCCTATTCACCTGTCCTCATAGTACAACTTCAACCTACAACTATTAACTTTGAAAGGATTATCAGTTTCAATAGGTGAACTTTCTACTGTGCCATAGGGTTATACCTTTTTAACCACAAATGGACCTGACCATCGAGATTTGAGTTTACCTGGAAACAATCTCAGTCGAGAATTGTACAATAGTACCTGTTGCCCCGGCTCAAATTCCTTTGGAGCTATCTTTTTGTCATGCCACCTCTTTGTCTTCTCCTTGTATATCCTGGCATTCTCATAAGCAGCTAACCTGAACTCATCCAACTCATGTAATTGCAACAATCGTTTTTCATTAGCTTTAGTTGGTTCAAAGTTCAGAAATTTAGTTGCCCATATAGTCTTATGCTCTAATTCAACATGAAGATTACAGGACTTACCGTACACCAGTTGTAATGGTGACATACCTATGGGCGTCTTGAAGGCTGTTCTGTATGCCCAAAGTGCATCGTCAAGCTTCCTTGCCCATTCTTTTTTAGTGTTGCCAACAGTCTTTTCCAGGATCTGCTTCAACTCTCTATTGGAAATCTCCACTTGTCAGCTTGTTTGAGGATGATATGGTGTAGCCACTTTGTGCGTGACTCCATACTTCGTGAGAAGACTCTCAGATTGTTTGTTGCAGAAGTGGATTTCTCCATCACTGATGATGGCTCTTGGAACTCCGAATCGGGTGAAGATGTTCTTTCGCAGAAAGAACACAACTACCTTAGCATCATTTGTTGGTGGGGCCACTGCTTCCACCCACTTGGACACGTAGTCCACAGCAACCAAGATGTACTGGTTGGAATATGACATAGGGAAGGGTCCCATAAAGTCAATTCCCCATACATCGAAGACTTTCACTTCCAGTATGCAATTTAAGGGCATATCATCCTTTCGGGAAATGTTTCCCGTACTCTGGCATCTGTCGTACTTCTCTACAAACTCTTTTGAGTCTTTGAATATTGTGGGCCAGTAGAACCAACTTTGTAGGACCTGTTGCGCTGTTCTATTTCCACCAAAGTGGCCTCTATAATCCGACGCATGGCAATGCCAAAGAATCTTCGGAATTTCCATCTCAGCTACACACCTGCGAATAATCACGTCAGTACATTGAAAATATAAGTATGGGTTATCCCAGTGGTACCTCCTTGCATCATGCAAGAACTTCTTTTTCTGTTTCCATGTGAGGTCTTTAGGAATTGATCCTACAGCTTTGTAATTCGCAATTTCTGCAAACCATGGTCCAAAGCGAACTGCCATCACTTGTTCATCAGGGAAGGATTCTTTGATCTCAATTTCTGGTCCATCTTGAAGTTCTTTATCTTGAATCCTTGACAAGTGATCAGCTACTTTATTTTCAACTCCTTTCTTGTCTCGAATCTCCAGGTCAAATTCTTGGAATAGAAGCATCCAACGCAGCAGCCGTGGCTTTGCATCCTGTTTACTCATAAGGTACTTCAATGCAGCATGGTTAGTAAAAAACAATGATTTTAGATCCTATCAAGTAAGGTCTTAATTTATCTAATGCACATACTACAGCTAGCATTTCTTTTTCAGTTGTGGCATAATTAACTTGTGCCTCGTTTAACACTTTGCTAGCATAACAAATAACATGCAATAGTTTATCCTTACGCTGATCGAGTACTGCTCCTATTGCGTATGCGCTCGCATCACACATGAGCTCAAACGGAAGATTCCAATCAGGAGCCATCTGGACAGGCGCAGTTGTCAATTTTTCCTTCAATAGATTAAAGGACTTCGGACATTCTGCATCAAATTTGAAATCAACGTCCTTCACCAAGAGTTGGCTTAAGGGTTTTGCAATCTTGGAGAAGTCCTTGATGAATCTTCTGTAAAAACCTGCATTGCCTAAGAAGCTCCGAACACCATTGACATTAGCAGGAGGGGAAAGTTTTCAATTAATAACAGTTTAGCCTTGTCAACTTCTATCCCTTTTTCATAAATTTTATGACCTAGCACTATTCCATCTTTTACCATAAAATAACACTTTTCCCAGTTTAAAACCAAGTTTGTTTCTTGACAGCGCTTCAATACTTTAGCTAAATTATCTAAGCATGAATCAAATCAAGAACCAAAAATAGAAAATTCATCCATAAATACCTCCAATGATTTTTCAATCATATCAGAAAAGATGGAAAGCATGCACCTTTGAAAAGTAGCGGGTGCATTGCAGAGTCCGAATGGCATCCTTCTGTAGGCGAACACTCCAAAGGGGCAAGTGAAAGCTGTTTTCTCTTGATCCTCTGGTGCATTAGGTATCTGATTGTAGCCTAAATATCCATCTAAGAAGTAGTAGTATGCATGTCCGGACAATCTTTAACAAAAATCAAATTTCTTAGTTATGCGCGTTGTGGGCATGCTTTCCCAAACTCACTAATTTCTATCAATTTTTATCAAAAATTGTATTTCCTAGTCCTATATACCATTTATAACTTATATCCAAACCTAGAGCTCAAAATTCAATCGACACGCTTTACGGTGCAACTGTACCACAGTATTTTTACCCGATAAAAATATCATTCACAAAATTTTCAGAAACTTGCCTAACCACTCAATTTTTCGTTCTGCATCCTTTTCCAGGGTTAGTTTTCTCATTTGAGACCTCCTACTCAATTTTACTTTTCTAGGGTTACATGTTTGGCTAATTACCGTTTTACCCTTTCTTTGTATTTTGGCCCTAAAGTTCAGGATTTTCGCTAATCCTACCCCTTTAATCCACATTTAATATATTAATACATGTTTTAGACATGTGAGATGTTATAACACACACATAAAGATTTGTTATATAAGTGTGGAACATTATCATACATATGCTATTGGAAAGCACTTAGAAGTAATTAAATTCATGAATATTCGAAAAGACAGCAGAAAACTAAGTTTCTGATGTGAAATAATTGAATACTTTGTGAAAGTAATCCATTACCTGGATACTTTGAAGAAGTAATCGATTGCCTGATGCACAATAACCAATTACCTGAAGTCTTTGAAGAAGTAATCGATTACCCACAAAAAGTAATTGATTACTCTCTATCTTAAGTGACTTAAAGCTTAAGTAATTCGAATTTTTAGATGTCCAATGACTAGTAACTTGATAGGACACCTATATAAACATATTCTAAGCTCTTCTCAATAAGAATTAACATTGGAAAACATCAGAGAACACAAAATTCAGATTAAACCCTTATTTGGCCTACTTTTGCATGTCTTTGACAAAAAGCTCAATTACCATCTCGTTTCTAAATCGTTTTATGATCTTTTTGAGAATTCTGAACATGGGAGGCTGCACTACATTTGTTTAGATGATTTGTGTTGCTGTAATTGTTGGAGAGATCTTAAGATTTCTTCAAATACCTGTTGGAAGCTTGATGATAGTGGAATAATCGACCTTACTCTGGATGTAGCTCTCAAGTGATTAGAGAATGAATCAGAATATATGCCGATATGATTCTTCCTTACCCTATTTCTTTGATTGCAATGTTTATAATTTGTTTCCTGGATTATACATGTTATATTGAATATAGTTAAGGTATGGGAATTATTAGTTTTCTAATTGATTTCGTTCTTGAATATATTCTTGAAAAGGGTATTGAATTACATTGATTTTGATCATTTTTCCCTTCTAATTTTGATTCTAATGTTTAATCTCTGATTGGATGTTATGTAATATGTTTTGATTTAGTTTTATGTTTAGGAAAAGGTTTATATTCTGTGAATTTCATTTTTCATTTTATGTTTAATCTCAGTAACACACAATTCACCCCCTCTTTTGTGATTGTTTAGCCATCTTTTCCTTTCAATTGGCTTCAAAGCTTAGGTTCTTTTACTATAGGTTTAATCACCTAGAGATAAAGATCCATAATACAGCTAGTTTTAACGATGATTTGCCTCAAGAGGGTAGTTTAACCAATATGCCACTTTATTTCAATGAAACAGATTATCCTTATTGGAAGTCTAGGATGCAAATCTTCTTAGAATCTATAAATTTAAGACTTTGGATAGTGGTTGAAGAATGTTATGATTTTCCTACCACTTTAGATGATAATGGTCAAAAGGTTTCGAAGAAAGTTAAGGATTTTAGTGATCTAGAATTAAAGGAAGCTTAATGGAATGTCAAAGCTAAGAATTTGGTTACAATTCTCTAGAGAGATATGAGTAATTTAGGATTTTCTCTTGTAAGACTGCTAAGGAAGGGTGAAAAGCGCTAAAAACCACACATGAAGGCACTATGAGGTTAATAGATCAAAACAAAATGCACTCACTATAGAATTTGAGACTTTTGAAATGCTTGATGATGAAAGCTTGTATGATTTGCAAAAATATTTTACTCACATCATTACAAGGTTGAGTGCTTTAGATATCCATCACAATGATAAGCAAATGATTAGAAAAATTTTTGAGATGCATGACCAATGAGTGGGATGCTAAGGTTCCGGCTATATATGAATCAAAGGACCTTGACATAATGCAAATTGCTACACTTTTTGGAAAGCTCCAAGAATATGAGTTTGAGATGAAAAGGCATGCTATAAGGGATCAAACTAAGATGAAAAATAAAAGTGTTGTTCTCAAGTCCACTACCTCCAAGGAAGCCAAAAATGATGAATCAAATGAGGAGGATATTGATATGGATGAAATGAGACTGTTCATTAAAAAGTATGGAAAATTCTTCAAAAAAAAAAACCTTCAGAGAGCAAAGCAAGGTGTTGTCCAAGGGAGATCAAAAAGAGATTCTAACACTACCAATACTCAAGTTACATGCTTTGAATGTGGAAAGCATGGCCACTATACGAGTGAATGTCCTACACTTCAAACAAAGTCTAAAAGTGATAAAAAGTCTAGTAAAAGAAAGAACAAAGTAAGGAAAACTTATATGGCATGGGATGAAGACTCATCAAGCTCAAGTTCCTCATCAAGTGAAGAGGAAGCCAACCTTTGTTTGATGGCAAAAGAGGAAAATGAAGCTAGTGAGGTAAATTCCATTTGTTCTTCTATGAACCTTCCTATGATGAATTAAAAAATGATTTTAAAGAAATAAATGATGAAGCTATGGAATTTTCTAAGAACCTTAGACTAGTTAGAAAGCATAATGATGACTTGCTTAAACAAGTAGCTTCTTTAAATGAACAACTTGATGATTTAAAAAATGAGAATGAAACTCTAAAGTTGTTGGATGCTAGTGCTACTTGTCTTGTATGTTTGTCTAGATCTAATGGTGCATCATCATTGATAAACCCTTGGTTTACCATGTTCTAGGCTTAATTATGATTGATATATATCATGAATTCCCTGTTAATTAGGGTTTTATATCGAAAAGTCACAATAAGTGAATATCGTGCTAACATATTGTCATAATTCTAATTTCAAGGGTTTTTGACACCTATTATGGCAATTTTGGAACCAAA